TTCCTAATTGTACTAGAGAATTTCTATCAAAAGAAGACATTTGGAGATTATCAGTTTAAGAAATTTATGAATTTTATATTAAATATGATTTATGATATGTTTGAGCATATCTTTAAATAATTTAGTATCAAAAAAAATGTGAATTTTATATAGTTATACTGCTATTAAAGATCAAATCTGTATTTTTCGCATAACTAAGTTGATAAAATCTCATTGAAAAGTTATCAAGCATGATTTTTTACCAAAATTTTTTCAACCATAAATTGATCTTTTTATTTATATAATTATCAGTCATTTAATTCTTCATTATCAGCAACAATATCAAAAATATATAAATGAAAGAAAACATGTATCTTAGAAAAAAAAATGAAAAATGACTTGAAAAAGCAAAAATTAATAATTCTTATTTAACTGATATTACAAGATGGATTTGTGGATGTTTATCATTTACTTGTAATAGATTTTTTATTTGTAAACATCTTTTTAGCAATATGGTTGACCAGAATTATTTCACAATATTTGTCGACAAGAAAAATATCCTTTTATAAATTTTAATATCAAGAAAAATATAAATGAATTAAATAATATATTAGAAAACAAAAAAATTCAAAAAGGTATATAATTATTAATGTTAATAATATATTTATATTAATATATTATATATTTATTGATATTTTTTTTATTAATAGGCATTTTACAAGATGTTACAATATTGAAGATAATGAAAGTTTACATATGGATGAAACTAATCAAATATTTAATAAATATGAGGAATGATTATGTGATATGTTAGAAATAATTTATGAACAAAGAAATTTAGATAATTATAAATAGGCTAAAGTAATAGAAAATAGTTTAGAAAATATTTATAAATTATACACTAATATAAAAATATATCAAAATCGTCATACTAATCTACGAACCTGAAAAAATCATAATAAACATACAATATTTTTAGAATAAAGTTAGCTCATTAATAATAAAATTTCTTTTAAAATAACAATATTTTTATAAATAAATTTTACAATGTTAAATATATAAATATATATATAAAAAATAGAAATAACTTTAATATAAACGCATATATATCTTTCAAAACTTTAAATTTTATTTTCAAGACGTATTATATTTTTGTGATAAAAAGGTTAATCAAAAATTATACTATTATCATTTATCTAATTAATAATAAAATATGTGTCACAAAATCATATGATCAAAGAATTTTTCTGGATGCTATTGAAGTAGTTTCACATATTTTCTTTTATATAAGTTATAAGTTTGACAAATTTATTATTTAAGAAGTTTATTTTATAAGCAAGTGACATTTACTACCTTTCAGGATTAATAAGATAAAAATTGTAATAAAAACCTTTAATTTTATATTTTATTACTTTATTTTACTTTATTAATATTTTCAAGCTATTTAAAAGTCTGTTTAAAGGATTCTTTATAATTCAGTTTTTAATTCATACTCTATTGCTTTTTGCTTAAAAGCATAAGTATATGAACTTATCCAATTTTGTATAGTGTGAACTTTTGGAATATCCTCTTTCTCTAATTCTTCAACTTTAATATGCCTCAAGAATTCATCATACATTATTTACATATTCATTCTATCTTAATATCGCTGATTTTTAGTAGAAAAAATCATTCTAACATAGCCTTAACCTTTTTTTTAATTCTAATACCACTTCCTTTAATACCTAATCTTTGGTTATCTTTTAATATCCATTCTTTATATAATAGAAATTTTACATCTATTATTATAATTAGAAAATTTAATATTTAATTTCAAATATTTGTTAAATATTTTAGAAATTATTTGAGGATCTTTAATTTTGTAAAATAGAAATTTTACATATCTTATTGAATTTGATACAAACTTTTTTATAATATTATAAATTATTTACCAATCCCTATTTCTTTTGTACTTTCTTCATATTTATTTATGCCTTCTATTTTGTTATCATTCTTAGCTAAAAGTATGTAACATCAATTTCAGATTTTGATGCAAGAATTTATTCAGCTAATAATATTAATATTTATCTAACTTACATCTATTGAAATTATCAATATTAATTGAGGGATTGTATATTCTAATATATTTGGCTGGAAACAGTAAAATAGAGTATTTAAAAAATTTGCTAAATATGTCAAAGTAAAATTACTCCATTTTTCAATATGAAATAATAAACGTACACAAATATATCCACTATATTCAACCTTTACTAGCTATTCCTAATAATATAGTTTTGAAATTTCTTTGATTATTTTGATTTTAGCTTTTTTGATTTTTGCTTTTTTATTTTACTAATTTCTGATTTTCAACAAAATTATTATTATATTCTAGTTTTATATTTGCTAATGAAGTTCCAGATAAACCTTTAGCTGCTTCAACAATATTATTTTCTATTTCTAAATCAAATCTAACCCATAAGTATTATTTAATTACATGTGTTATCTTTAAAATAGAAGTAATAAGTTAGAGAACATATTTTATATAAAAATATTACAAAAATACTCAGTAGTATATAGAGTTCTGAATGAATCGAGTCGAGTCGAGTTTAAAGACCAACTTTATTCGACTCATTTTTTTTGAGTCGAGTCGAGTCAAATTTATTTTATAAAATCTTTCAATTTGATTTGATTTGAGTTATATAAATTTTA